CATAATGACAAAGCAAAAACAGATTTTTATAAATTCTTGCAAATTTATAAATAAATAAAAACCTGAAATGCATTATATATATAAGTATTCAGACTCTTTGCTATGAGACTCGGAATTGAGCTCAGGTGCATCCTGTTTCCATTGATCATCTTTGAGATGTTTCTACAACTTGATTGGAGTCCACCTGGGGTAAATTCAATTGATTGGACATGATTTGGAAAGGCAGACACCTGTCTATATAATGTCCCACAGTTGACAGTACATGTCAGAGCAAAAACCAAGCCATGAGGTCGAAGGAATTGTCCGTAGAGCTCCGAGACAGGATTGTGTCGAGGCACAGATCTGGGGAAGGGTACCAAAACATTTCTGCAGCATTGAAAGTTCCTAAGAACACAGTGGCCTCCATCATTCTTAAATGGAAGAAGTTTCGAACCACCAAGATTCTTCCTAGAGCTGTCCGCCCGTCCAAACTGAGCAATCATGGGAGAAGGGCCTTGGTCAGGGAGGTGACCAAGAACCCAATGGTCACTCTGACAGAGCTCCAGAGTTCCTCTGTGGAGATGGGAGAACCTTCCAGAAGGACAACCATCTCTGCAGCACTCCACCAATCAGGCCTTTATGGTAGAGTGGCCAGACGGAAGCCACTCCTCAGTAAAATGCACATGACAGCCCGCTTGGAGTTTACCAAAAGGAACCTAAAGGATTCTCAGAACATTAGAAACAAGATTCTCTGGTCTGATGAAACCAAGATTGAACTCTTTGGCCTGAATGCCAAGCATCACGTCTGGAGGAAGCATGGTGGTGGCAGCATAATGTTGTGGGGATTTTTTCAGCGGCAGGGACTGGGAGACTAGTCAGGATCGAGAGAAAGATGAACGGAGCAAAGAACAGAGAGATCCTTGATGAAAACCTGCTCCAGAGCGCTCAGGACGTCAGACTGGGGAGAAGGTTCACCTTCCAACAGGACAACGACCCTAAGCACACAGCCAAGACAACGCAGGAGTGGCTTCGGGACAAGTCTCTGAATGTCCTTGAGTGGCCCAGCTAGAGACCGGACTTGAACCCGATCGAACATCTCTGGAGAGACCTGAAAATAGCTGTGCAGCGACGCTCCCCATCCAACCTGACAGAGCTTCAGGGGATCTGCAGAGAAGAATGTAGGAAACTCCCCAAATACAGGTGTGCCAAGCTTGTAGCATCATACCCAAGAAGACTCGAGGCTGTATTCTCTGCCAAAGGTGTTTCAACAAAGTACTGAGAAAAGAGTTGGAATACTTATGTAAATGTGATATTTCAGTTGTGTTCTTTTATACATTAGCAAAAATGTATAAAAACCTGTTTTTGCTTTGTCATTATGGGGCATTGTGTGTAGGTTGATGAGGGAAAAAAACAATATAATCCATTTTAGAATAAGGCAGTAACGTAACAAAGTGTGGAAAAAGTCAAGGGGTCTGAATACTTTCCGAATGCACTGTATACTTCCATTCATTTTTCCATCTGGTACCAGGGGACCTTCAGATGAATCTTGTGAGGCCTGTGGGCATCCTAGAGCATAACAATCGACATGTACGAGAGTCTCACCTTTCCACAGAGGGGTCATATTAGTGTGTAGCCCAAACTGTTCGGACACTACAGACAGAAGTTGGCAGATCGGCTGTACCAACTTCAGACGAGTCCCAAGATGATTGTGGGGGTCGTAGAGCAAAACGGAGAACAACATCGTGTTTGTGAGAGTCATCTTTCCATAGAGGTCATAATAGTTTATAGGCCAAACCGATCAGACGCTACAGACGATTTTGTGAGAAGACCGATTTTCGGGATGTCTCATGGTCTGACAAACACTGCTCTAGCTCTGTCGCCTTTCACCGCAGATGCGGAAGTGCAACATAGGCGGATGCGGTGGATTGAGTCACATCCAATGCAAAAAAAACTGATATCGCTAGTTTAAACTGACAGATTTGTATGGGGGTTATTTTATTATGCTAATTAGATTTCCGCGGAGCGTGATAATTTACCTTATTTAAATAATATTCTTAGAATGTTTTTGAATGTTACTAATGTTTTCTTGTTTTATGGAATGTTTTCTAATGTTCTGAGAACGTGACTTTAAATAGAACCACGAGGAAACCTTCAGAAAACGTTATGCTGAAGTACTGAAATTCCCACAGAAGAACATTGTTTCTTAACATTCTCTGAACGTTCTGAGAATATTACTATAAATAGAACCATGAGGAAACCTGCAGAAAACGTTATGCTGAAGTACTGAAATTGCCACAGAAGAACGCTGTTTCTTAACGTTCTCTGAATGTTCTGAGAACATGACTTTAAATAGAACCATGAGGAAACCTATAGAAAATGTTATGCTTAAGTACTGAAATTCCCAGCTAAGAAACAAATGGTTCTCAGAACGTTATGTGCTAGCTGGGTACTAATGTTCTGGGATAGGTAACCAAAAATTGTTTGCTGGGATTTTACTTAGGGCCATATGAGTTTTCCTTAACCATGTGACCTGACCAGATAAAAATGCTGGATTCCCTAGGCTATAGTGCCAAGAGTTTTTCCTGGTCAAGTCACATGATGTCCGGAAAAAACTTCTGACCCTAAGAATAGTATTGGTTCTTATTACCAGTAGATCATGCATCATATTGCAGGGTGGTTGTTGTGACAGATGAAGCCATATGTTTCACTCAGCAGTGGTCAAGAGCGATGTGGTGGCAGGAATGGGGGCTGTAAGTCTAGCACCACACCAGTTGCCAACCTCCCTGTTCTACCAGTGTAGAACCAGTGTACCAACACTAGGAACAAAAAGAGTCCTGTAGGCTGGCTGCTCAACGTCTGAGAGGGGCTTTGTAGGGCGTCATACAATATCCATACAAAAGTTGCTGAAATGGATTCTTCAAATATGAGTTGATATTTATTTTCTGGGGAATGTTTTTAAGTCTTTAAGATAAAAATGCTGATGTCAAGACATAATGTAGCTACTTCTACAGCATTTTTATCTATTAAACAATAATGTTGTGAAAGATCTGACTATTTAGAGTTTGTGCATCACATTTCTTACAAACTTTTTCTTCTTCTCTGAAACCATATAATAATATTTAATGACTTATTCCATTACTTTGGCATAGCTATTTAATAAAATACCCCCAAATTCCTTACATACCCTGGAAGCTGAACTGTAATTGGACCAATTAACCTCTTAAGGATCGGACCCTTTTTTCAATATTCGCCTAAAATGACATACCCAAATCTAACTGTCTGTAGCTCAGGACTTGAAGCAAGGATATGCATATTCTTGATACCATTTGAAAGGAAACACTTTGAAGTTTGTGGAAATGTGAAATTAATTACATGTACGTCATTTAGCAGACGCTCTTATCTACATTTTCATACTGGCCCCCCATGGGAATCAAACCCACAACCCTGGCGTTGCAAACACCATGCTCTACCAACTGAGCTACACGGGACCATTAATGTAGGATAATATAACACATTGATCTGGTAAAAGGTACTACAAACATTTTCTATAATTTTTTTGTTCCATGATCTTTGAAATGCAAGAGAAAGGCCACAATATAATATTGCAGTTTAGGCGCAATTTAGATTTTGGCCACTAGATGGCAGCAGTATGTGTGCAAAGTTTCAGATTGATCCAGTGAAGCATTGCAATACTGGACTATTTTGTATCAAGTCTGCCCAAATGTGCCTAATTGGTCAATTGATACATTTTCAAGTACATAACTATAGAGAACATACAAAAATGATATGGTAATACAAAATGTAAGTTTGCACACTCCCAGGAATGTCATGCATGATGGATCATTAGCTTATACACTAACTTTCACATATCTAGATGGCCGGGTGGGGTGGGTGTGGAGCCAGAGACAGCAGTGGTTCAAACTGTAGAATCCAGTTCCTACATTTGAATATAAAAATGGATTTTATCAAACAAAACTATGCTACATTTTATCTCTGGGACCCTTCAGAGATAAATCAGAGCAAGATTACTGAATGTAAGTACATTATTTACCTTCAGAGGTGAATATATCAAACCAGTAGCCGTGAAGTTTTTTGTTGTTGTGCACTCTCCTCAAACAATAGCATGGTATATTTTCACTGTAATAGCTACTGTAAATTGGACAGTGCAGTTAGATTAACAAGAATTTAAGCTTTCTGTCCATATAAGATATGTCTATGTCCTGGAAAGTTTGTTGTTACTTACAAAAGTCATGCTAATCACATTAGCGCACGTTAGCGCAACCGTCCCGTATACGGGACACTGATCCCGTAGAGGTTAATCCATGTTTTTATCATTTTAATAGAGGATCAGAGCTATAGTAATGCCCTCACATGTCTCCCGATCACATTACTTCTTCCACTAAATCATGTGACTTTGGCTTCTAGCACTTGGCCCTACTGTGTGTGTAATGGTGTTGACAACAGTGATCCAATCACTCTCATTCGAGAATGACGTGGGTGACATCCTCTGTGCCAATCTTCCTTTAACCCATAGGCCTAACTGCTACTGTACTTGCTTTTTATTTCAGATTAAAACAAATTTCCTTCATTTTCTATGTAACTGTCTGTTCACAGTGGTGCTTCTGGTCGTGTGTTGGAGTCCCCCCTTGTGTCTTCCCTGCCCCACCCCCCCTCCCCTCCTCTTCTTATACTCCACAGTGTGCTGCTGCTCTGCTATATGTGGCGCCCGGGGCCGCTCCAGGAATCTGCTCTAAATGTTTTCCATATTAGTTCAGAGCCTTCTCTGGTTCCAAATAGCCTAGCAGCCGAGCTGGGGTAATGCTGAGAGGAACCCTGAGCAGGAAGGGGAAGGGAACGGGGGGCGTGGCAGGGAGCAGGGTAGCACACTAACAGACAGCACAACGGTAAGACACTGACAAAGAAACGGGAAAGGAAAGAGAGAGAAAAGAGAGAGAGAGAAAACAACCTCCCAAGGAGCTGAAGAATAAGCGCAAGTCTCATTTCAAGACAGAAGGTGAAGAATGGGAGAAGGAAAGAAGGGATCTGGAGGAGGGGAGAAGAGCGGAGGAGCGCCCCCCATCCAGGAGAAGAAAGGAGGGAAAGCAGAGGAGGGAGGGCCAGCGCCCGAGGATGCCCACAAGTGCTGTGGCTGTCGCTTCCCCCTGCTCATCGCCCTGCTACAGCTGCTGCTGGGGGTGGCCATCACAGCCGTGGCCTTCCTCATGGTCACCATCAGCCCCTCGCTCCTGGCCAGGGAGACCCCACACTGGGCCGGCATCATTGTAAGCATGGACCCGCCTCGTCCTTCTGTATGCATGGACACTTAATATGGCCTTGTGCCACTGTTGTAGCTGCATGGGCCTTTGCCTTATCTTTCTTTGGTCCCTATGTCCATCTTCACCTCACCTCACTACGTGACCGCATGGATCCTCGTCCTCATACTCTAACAACCCAATGCAACCTTGTGGATCTACATGCATGCACACTCAATATGGCCACTATTGTTGCTGCCCTATCCTTTAATCCTTCTGTCCAGCCTCACCTCAAATCAAATCAAATCAAATGTATTGGTCACATACAGATGGTTAGCAGATGTTATTGCGAGTGTAGCGAAATGCTTGTGCTTCTAGTTCCAACAGTGCAGCAATATCTAGCAAGTACTATCTAACAGTTCCACAACAAAATCCTAATACACACAAATCTAAGTAAAGGAATGGAATAAGAATAGATAAATATATGGATGAGCAATGTCATTATCAGAGTGGCATAGGCTAAGATGCAATAGATAGTATAGAATACAGTATATACATATGAGATGGGTAATGCAAGATATTTAAACATTATTAAGATAGTAAAGAATACAGTATATACATATGTCTGTAGCTCAGCTGGTAGAGCACGGCGCTTGTAACGCCAAGGTAGTGGGTTCGATCCCCGGGACCACCCATACACAAAAAAATGTATGCACGCATGACTGTAAGTCGCTTTGGATAATTATATTATTATATGAGATGGGTAATGCAAGATATGTAAACATAATTAAAGTGGCATTATTAAAGTGACTAGTGATTTTCAAGTCTGTATGTAGGCAGCAGCCTCTCTGTGCTAGTGATGGCTGTTTAACAGTCTGATGGCCTTGAGATAGAAGCAGTTTTTCTGTCTCTCAGTCCCAGCTTTGATGCACTTGTACTGACCTCGCCTTCCAATCCCCCATGTGTTTTTTTTTCTCGCAAATATATATACACTACCGTGCAAAAGTTTGGGGTCACTTAGAAAACATACATGATATGAGTTTGAATAGGCAGTGGCTAGTTGTCCTTGATTATCTTTTTGTCCTTCCTGTGACATCGGGTGCAGTAGGTGTCCTGGAGGGCAGGTAGTTTGCCCCCGGTGATGCGTTGTGCAGACTGCACCACCCTCTGGAGAGCCCTGCGGTTGTGGGCGGTGCAGTTGCCGTACCAGGCGGTGATACAGCCCGACAGGATGCTCTCAATTGTTCATCTGTAAAAGTTTTTGAGGGTTTTAGTTGACAGACACATTTATTCAGCCTCCTGAGGTTGAAGGGACGCTGTTGCGCCTTCTTCACAACACTGTCTGCGTGGGTGGACCATTTCAGTTTGTCAGTGATATGTACTCAGAGGAACTTAAAACTTTCCACCTTCTCCACTGCTGTCCTGTCTATGTGGATAGAGGGGTACTCCCTCTGCTGTTTCCTGAAGTCCATGATCATCTCCTTGTTTTTTTTTACGTTGAGTGAGAGGTTATTTTCCTGACACCACACTCCGAGAGCCCTCACCTCCTCCCTGTGGGCTGTCTCATCGTTGTTTTTTAAATGTATTTTACATTTATTTTTTGGGGGTAGATCAGCTTTAATATTGCAGATAGATTATAACTTCCATCAATGGGCGGCAGGTAGCTTAGTGGGTAAGAGTGTTGTGCTAGTAACCGGAAGGTTGCTGGTTCTAATCCCCGAGCCGACTAGGTGAAAAATCTGTCGATGTGCCCTTAAGCAAGGCATTTAACCCTAATTGCTCCTGTAAGTCACTCTGGATAAGAGTGTCTGCTAAATGACTAAAATGTGATTGTCTGCATCACTTCCAATCCCCCATATGTTTTTTTTTCTCGCAAATAATTATACACTACCGTTCAAAAGTTTGGGGTCACTTAGAAAACATACATGATATGAGTTTGAATAGGAAATATAGCAAAATGCATAGGAAATGTAGTCATTGACAAGGTTAGAAATAATGCTTTTTAATAGAAATAATACTTCTGTCCTTCAAACTTTGCTTTCGTCAAAGAATCCTCCATTTGCAGCAATTACAGCCTTGCAGACCTTTGGCATTCTAGTTGTCAATTTGTTGAGGTAATCTGAAGAGATTTCACCCCATGCTTCCTGAAGCACCTCCCACAAGTTTGATTGGCTTGATGGGCACTTCTTACGTACCATACGGTCAAGCTGCTCCCACAACAGCTCAATAGGGTTGAGATCCGGTGACTGTGCTGGCCACTCCATTATAGACAGAATACCAGCTGACTGCTTCTTCCCTAAATAGTTCTTGCATAGTTTGGAGCTGTGCTTTGGGTCATTGTCCTGTTGTCGGAGGAAAGTGGCTCTAATCAAGCGCCGTCCACAGGGTATGGCATGGCGTTGCAAAATGGAGTGATAGCCTTCCTTCTTCAAGATCCCTTTTACCCTGTACAAATCTCCCACTTTACCACCACCAAAGCACCCCCAGACCATCACATTGCCTCCACCATGCTTGACAGATGGCATCAAGCACTCCTCCAGCATTTTTTCATTTGGTCTGCGTCTCACAAATGTTCTTCTTTGTGATCCGAACACCTCAAACTTCGATTCGTCTGTCCATAACACTTTTTTCCAATCTTCCTCTGTCCAGTGTCTGTGTTCTTTTGCCCATCTTAATATTTTCTTTTTATTGGCCAGTCTGAGATATGGCTTTTTCTTTGCAACTCTGCCTAGAAGGTCAGCATACCGGAGCCGCCTCTTCACTGTTGGCGTTGAGACTGGTGTTTTGCGGGTACTATTTAATGAAGCTGCCAGTTGAGGACCTGTGAGGTGTCTGTTTCTCAAACTAGACACTCTAATGTATTTGTCCTCTTGCTCAGTTGTGCACCGGGGCCTCCCACTCCTCTTTCTATTCTGGTTAGAGACAGTTTGCGCTGTTCTGTGAAGGGAGTAGTACACAGCGTTGTACAATATCTTCAGTTTCTTGGCAATTTCTCGCATGGAATAGCCTTAATTTCTCAGAACAAGAATAGACTGATGAGTTTCAGAAGAAAGTTATTTGTTTCTGGCCATTTTGAGCCTGTAATCGAACCCACAATTGCTGATGCTCCAGATACTCAACTAGTCTCAAGAAGGCCAGTTTTATTGCTTCTTTAATCAGCACAACAGTTTTCAGCTGTGCTAACATAATTGCAAAAGGGTTTTCTAATGATCAATTAGCCTTTTATAATGATAAACTTGGATTAGCAAACACAACGTGCCATTGGAACACAGGACTGATGGTTGCTGATAATGGGCCTCTGTACGCCCATGTAGATATTCCATAAAAAAATCAGACGTTTCCAGCTACAATAGCCATTTACAACATTAACAATGTCTACGCTGTATTTCTGATCAATTTGATGTTATTTTAATGGACAAAAAAATTGCTTTTCTTTCGAAAACAAGGACATTTCTAAGTGACCCCAACATTTTGAACGGTAGTGTATATATATACATATACATACATACACATACATATACACATACATACATATACAGTGGGGAGAACAAGTATTTGATACACTGCCGATTTTGCAGGTTTTCCTACTTACAAAGCATGTAGAGGTCTGTAATTTTTATCATAGGTACACTTCAACCGTGAGAGACAGAATGTAAAACAAAAATCCAGAAAATCACATTGTATGATTTTTAAGTAATTAATTTGCGTTTTATTGCATGACATAAGTATTTGATCACCTACCAACCAGTAAGAATTCCGGCTCTCACACACCTGTTAGTTTTTCTTTAAGAAGCCCTCCTGTTCTCCACTCATTACCTGTATTAACTGCACCTGTTTGAACTCGTTACCTGTATAAAAACACCTGTCCACACACTCAATCAAACAGACTCCAACCTCTCCACAATGGCCAAGACCAGAGAGCTGTGTAAGAACATCAGGGATAAAATTGTAGACCTGCACAAGGCTGGGATGGGCTATAGGACAATAGGCAAGCAGCTTGGTGAGAAGGCAACAACTGTTGGCGCAATTATTAGAAAATGGAAGAAGTTCAAGATGACGGTCAATCACCCTCGGTCTGGGGCTCCATGCAAGATCTCACCTCGTGGGGCATCAATGATCATGAGGAAGGTGAGGGATCAGCCCAGAACTACACGGCAGGACCTGGTCAATGACCTGAAGAGAGCTGGGACCACAGTCTCAAAGAAAACCATTAGTAACACACTACGCCGTCATGGATTAAAATCCTGCAGCACACGCAAGGTCCCCCTGCTCAAGCCAGCGCATGTCCAGGCCCGTCTGAAGTTTGCCAATGACCATCTGGATGATCCAGAGGAGGAATGGGAGAAGGTCATGTGGTCTGATGAGACAAAAATAGAGCTTTTTGGTCTAAACTCCACTCGCCGTGTTTGGAGGAAGAAGAATGATGAGTACATCCCCAAGAACACCATCCCAACCGTGAAGCATGGAGGTGAAAACATCATTCTATGGGGATGCTTTTCTGCAAAGGGGACAGGACGACTGAACCGTATTGAGGGGAGGATGGATGGGGCCATGTATCGTGAGGTCTTGGCCAACAACCTCCTTCCCTCAGTAAGAGCATTGAAGATGGGTCGTGGCTGGGTCTTCCAGCATGACAACAACCCGAAACACACAGCCAGGGCAACTAAGGAGTGGCTCCGTAAGAAGCATCTCAAGGTCCTGGAGTAGCCTAGCCAGTCTCCAGACCTGAACCCAATAGAAAATCTTTGGAGGGAGCTGAAAGTCCGTATTGCCCAGCGACAGCCCCGAAACCTGATGGATCTGGAGAAGGTCTGTATGGAGGAGTGGGCCAAAATCCCTGCTGCAGTGTGTGCAAACCTGGTCAAGACCTACAGGAAACGTATGATCTCTGTAATTGCAAACAAAGGTTTCTGTACCAAATATTAAGTTCTGCTTTTCTGATGTATCAAATACTTATGTCATGCAATAAAATGCAAATTAATTACTTAAAAATCATACAATGTGATTTTCTGGATTTTTGTTTTAGATTCCGTCTCTCACAGTTGAAGTGTACCTATGATAAAAATTACAGACCTCTACATGCTTTGTAAGTAGGAAAACCTGCAAAATCGGCAGTGTATCAAATACTTGTTCTCCCCATTGTAAATAGATATATATACATATCCTTTAAAAATATATATTTCCCTTTATTACTTTCCAACCCCACCACCCCTTCCCTAATTGGAGTAAACAAGTGAACAACAACGCTTAGGCCTCTACTTCCAGCTTATACATACTATATACATTTTATGGACACAGTCAAATTCTACAATAATTATATTTTGTTTATTTTTACTCCTGAACTTCCTCCGATCAATTTCATGATGTCCATCTGGTTTGCTTCTATATGCCATATTTTTCTAACTGTGCTGTTTCACAAAAGCTCTCAACCTATAACCTATATAATTATTATGGACACAGTATGCTTTACATTAGTTATCTTGTTGTTATTAGTTGTTGTTAGTTGTTATTAGTCCCATCATTCAGCACCATTCAACACCTCCCATCTATCTCTTAACACCATCCATATTGGATTTATATTTGCCATATATTTTTCAACTGTACTGTGATGTTTCACAAAAGTTCTGAACCCTTCTATTCTCATTGTTTCTACAGATGCTAAAAGTATTATTATATTATTGATCGATTGACTATGACTTTTCAGATCACCCAATAGTGCTATCTGCAGGGTTAGCTCCAGGTAAATATTGCAATCCTTCAGCCATTCCTGGACCTGGGACCAAAAACAAGCTACAAATGGACAGTACCAAAACAAATTATCTAATGATTCTGTCTCTTCGCAGCAAAATCTGCAGAGCTGGTGGGAAGATTGTATCCCCCATATAAATAATATTCTATTGGTAGCAAGAATCTTGTATAATAATTTAAATTGAAAAATTCTAAGTTTTGAATCCGGTGTCGTTTTGCGTAGCAGTTCATAAACACTATGCCATGGAATCGGTACGTCAAAAATCTCTTCCCAACTATTTTGCAATCTATATGGTACGGCTGTCAATCCTTTGGTCCTTAAATGAAACTGGTATATTTTTTTATTTATCACAATTTTCTTTAACCAATTATGTTCTTTAATGCAGGGCCGACAGACAAGTTCCTTACTTTTTCGCCCTTCCACTTTCCTCTTCCATTTTTGCGGTAATTTCCATATGTTTTTGTTAGCTGCATGTGCGACATAACTCCACCAGTGCTACCTATGATACAATTTATGAAGATTATACCTTTTTTTAAATTTTTTATAAAAATATAATGGCATTATTTTTCTTTCTTTTTTATCAATTAGTATATTTGAGTTTAACATAATATTTGTTGCATTATTTGTTCTGTCGTTTCTGGAGGATTAAATTGAAATTGCAACCAACTTTCTATGACTTGTTTTAGAAATAGTGATATTTGGTAATCTGAATAAAGGGAAAAAGGACATTATTGAACATTGGGTGAGACAATCTTACTAATTTCCTAGAGAACCAGTTCGGATTTAAGTATAACTTTTGTATGACTGAAGCTTTTAGTTATAGGTCTAATGCTTTAATATTTAATAATTTATGTCCTCCGAATTCATAGTCATTATATAAATAGGCCCGTTTAATTTTGCCTGGCTTGCCGTTCCAAATAAAATGGAATAGTTTTTTCTCATATAATTTAAAAAACTGTTCGCTAGGCGTAGGCAAGACCATAAGCAAGTAGGTAAACTGGGATAATACTAAAGAGTTAATCAGGGTGATTTTTCCACAAATAGACAGGTATTTACATTTCCATGGTAGCAAAATCGTATCTATTTTTGCTAACTTTCTATTAAAAGTTATTGGAGTGAGATCATTTATTTCATTTGGGATATGTATTCCGAGTATATCTACATGACCATCAGACCATTTTATTGGCAAACTACATGGTAATCAAGCCTACTACTGTGTGTCATCTGCAAACTTGATGATTGAGTTGGAGGCGTGCATGGCTACGCAGTCATGGGTGAACAGGGAGTACAGGATGGGGCTGAGCACACACCCTTGTGGGGCCCCAGTGTTGAGGATCAGCGAAGTGGAGATGTTGTTTCCTACCTTCACCACCTGGAGGCGGCCCGCCAGGAAGTCCAGGACCCAAGCTTGATGATGAGCTTGGAGGGTACTATGGCGATGAATGCTGAGCTATATTCAATGAACAGTATTCTTACATAGGTATTCCTCTTGTCCAGATGGGATAGGGCAGTGTGCTGGCGATTGCATCGTCTGTGGACCTATTGGGGGTATGCAAATTGAAGTGGGTCTAGGGTGACAGGTAAGGTGGAGGTGAAATGATCCTTGACTAGTCTCTCAAAGCACTTCATGATGACAGAAGTGAGTGCTATGGGCGATAGTCATTTAGTTCAGTTACCTTTGCATTCTTGGGTACATGAACAATGGTGGCCATCTTGAAGCATGTGGGGACAGCAGACTGGGATAGTCATGGACGTATGTCATGGACCCTTGTCCTGATACTCTACCTACCGCGCCTCCCATGAACTTCACCTACAATGCATGCATGGACACTGGGTTGTACTGCATCATCCCCCAGAATGTAGCTGCATGGACCCATCTTCTACCTTCATTACATGCATGGCCTAATGATGTATATAAACACATACAGTATGTATGGCTATGGCATGGCCACACAGACGTTTGTCCTCCTCATCGCCATCTTGTCTCCTCATCGCCATCTTTGTCTCAACACATGGCACTCTGGTCCATTACTAATTGCTACCTCTTCAATTTGTACGCCAGATGTCCTTCTACTCAGACTTTGTCCCTACTGTACGTCTACCTTGCCCTGACTGCATGTACACATTCCTACTTATCAGCCTTATCTCTCTATTCACACATTATCTTACATTAGTTTCATCTAAACTCAAAATAAGGGTTGTTTATCATGCTTAACTGCCTTTTCTATAGCCGTTTCAACCTCAGTGTTTTAATGGGAAAGTTCCCCACCCTAAATGACTCAGAGATAAACATGGCACATGGATAGGGTGACTCATAGTCATTTACTAGTGCCATGTGGTTTTACATAGGGAATGATTTCAGATGTACTCCCTTTTCAATATGGAGCGTAGTGTGCCATGCAGTGACATACAGTGGCTGCAGTTTTTCATATACAGTTATTTTATTCCTGGCCAGGCAAAAATAAATAACAATTATGATCAAGTTTCAGGTTAAAAGTTGCCTTGTTTGCCTTGTTTTTATAAGGGATGACCCGCGTGAACATCCCTCAGTCTCATTGAACAAATTGGTTGACATTCTAAATGTCAACATGTTGACTGCTACCAATTAACTTGACGTTATTTTCACATTGTCTCCCTCACTCTCTCACTGTTGATTAGATCGATCTCCTCTATAAATAGTTAACTGGCTTAAAGAGTTTCTGGGTCATTCTACCTCTTTTGAAAGTGTAACTTGGTCAAAAGAAACGTTTGATTTCACCTAATTTTAACTTTCTGTAATAACGTTGGTAGAGCATGGTGCTTGCAACACCAGGGTTGTGGGTTCGTTTCCCACGGGGGGCCAGTATGAAAATGTATGCACTCACTAACTGTAAGTCGCTCTGGATAAGAGCGTCTGCTAAATGACTAAAATGTCAATGTAAATCTCAAGAGGTTAAATTTAAAAAATGGCGATAGTAAGTGCATACTAAGTGCCAAATAAAGTAACAGGGTTGACTAACAGGGTTTACGATTTCTTCTTAAATCAGCCATAAATCCCGTTGTGACAGGGGGAATGGAAGATTGTTGTGTGTAACAGGGAGTGGCAATTGAATGCAAGCTTCACCATTTTTTATTTATTGTTAAAAAATGTCTAGCCTGTCTAGCTATGGGTAACAGGGTTGACGTGTTATGCTCAACCCACTCAGTTTTCCACCACAAAACACCAGAAAATGGCCAACAAGAGTTGAAACAGCTCACATGCTTTTATTCTATGATTTGACTATTAGATGTTCAATGTTTCTTTTGAAAAAAATATTTCAAAAATAGTTTCATCATATTAAAATGAGAGTTCAGTTCACATAGCAGGGTTGACCTTAAAATGAAGGACAGGCGTAAATCAATCACTAATCACATTAAATAAATAATAATCTTCAGAAATGACTTTGTCAAAGCAACAAAATAACTAGGGCTTTACAATGATGGTGAAACTTGGAGACATTTTGTAATTAAGTGGGTTAAAACCTTCCTAGAAGTGGGTTGACGGAGGGACATGTCAAAATGCTGAATTTTAGCGCTTCAGCAAGCCTTTATTCATATAAAAATCTGATCTATTGAATTCTCCATGTGGTCTTCATTTGATATAACATGCTTTTAAAATGCAATATTAGTGCACAATTTCTACTTAAAATATCAAAGGGACGCAAAAGGCACTCATTTCGTGGATGACCCTTCTATAAGTTTCAAACTTTCCCCCAACTGTAGTCATGGCAAGACAACAACAACAACTCTAGAATGCCAGTCAGTTGTGGGGCAGTAGCCTCTTACCCCAATCCTATAGTTAGCTAATGTCTACAGATAAATAAAGCAAATAATACTGAAAGTAGCACTTTACTTTACATTGCCATTATACCCATGTAACTGCACAGTAATAACAGTAGTAACAACGTTGTATGAGACCCAATGTTGTAAAAATGCAGCGTTTCCTAAATTGCATCCTGTACAGATCCTAAACTCAAACAATATGTCAAACACTACATAGTGCATCTCCTTAGACCCAGATGTATCTCTTAGTAGTATTTGTTGTGTGTTGGTATGATTATTGTGGCATCAGTAGCCTCTGAAACATTAGAACCCTGTCAACTTGTATAAGACCACACTGGTCCCCTATTCAAGCATATGTTGTAGGCCATCCATGAAAGTAAATGACTAGACATATTTTTTCCTGTCTTCTCTAAGATAAAGTGATTATGTAAAAACATGTTAATTGATAAACAAACATTCTGAGCCAGAGCTAAACGTAGTTTTGTAAGTGTTGCAAAAACACAACATTGGGATTAAAGGGTCGCCAAACTGAGCCATTGGGCTACATTCATATATTGATTGACAAGTTAGAGAGATTGTTCTCCTTCAAAATTCTGCAAATATGGACAACAAAATACTTCAAGAGTAACTTTGATGTCCCCTCTACACATCAAAAGAACAAAACTACCATTTTTGTTAGTTTTTTTGTGTGTAGTTTATGAGGTAAGAATACTGCCTTTGATGACCATTCATTTTATGGTAAAGAAGTAAGATAGGAGGTTCTCTCTATACATAAATCCAGAATTATACAACCAAATATTATTAAAAGTAAGTTAGATGTTCTCCATGCGTACAAAACCCACCAAATAGTTGATCCTTTCAAAATACATATGTTTTTGACAGCGATATTTTAAAAATGTGGATCGATCGAATTGATCAATTTGGCTATTTCAGACAAAATAGGACTTCATTTCAGTTTAATATGTAAATGCTTTTGATCCATTTTGATGTGAATTTCACCGTTTTTTTTATTAACACACATTTTCCTACCATTGAAGCCCAATGTTGCATGTTTGCAACGTTTCCAGATCTTTCTGAGCAAACTTAACATTAAAAAAACTGATTATTTTCATAATCAGAGGCCTATTACAAGTACACTATATATACAAAGGTATGTGTACACCACTTCAAATTAGTGGAATAGGCTATTTCAGCCACAGCTGTTGCTGACAAGTGTATAAAATCGAACACACTGCCATGCAATCTCCATAGACAAACATTGGCAGTAGAATGGCCTTACTGAAGAGCTCAGTGACTTTCAACATGGCACCGTCCTAGGATACCACCTTTCCAACAAGTCAGTTCATCAAATTCCTACCCTGCTAGAGCTGCCACGGTAAACTGTAAGTGCTGTTATTGTGAAGTGGAAACATCTAGGTGCAACAACGGCTCAGCTGCGACTTGGTAGGCCACACAAGCTCAAAGAATGGGACCGCCGAGTGTGAAGTGCGTAGCACGTAAAAATCGTCTGTCCTCGGTTGCAACGTCAGCACAAGAACTGTTCATCGGGAGCTTCATGAAATAGGTTTCCATGGCTGAGCAGCCGCACACAAGCCTAGGATCACCATGCGAATCTGGGTTTGGCGGATGCCAGGAGAACGCTACCTGCCCCAATGCATAGTGCCAACTGTAAAGTTTGGTGGTGGAGGAGGAATAACGGTCTGGGGCTCTTTTTCATACTCCGGGCTAGGCCCCTTAGTTCCAGTGAAGGGAAATATTAACGCTACAGCATACAATGACATTCTAGACGATTCAGTGCTAATAACTTTGTGGGAACAGTTTGGGGAATGCCCTTTCCTGTTTCAGCATGACAATGCCCCTGTGCACAAAACGAGATCCATACAGAGATGGTTTGTTGAGATCGGTGTGGAAGAACTTGACTGGCCTGCACACAGCCTTGACCTCAATTCCATCGAACACCTTTGGGTTGAATTGGAACGCCGACTGTGAGCCAGGCCTAATCGCCCAACATCAGTGCCCGACCTCACTAATGCTCGTGTCTGAATGGAAGCAAGTCCCCGCAGCAATGTTCCAACATCTAGTGGAAAGCCTTCCAAGAGAAGTGGAGGCTGTTAAAGCAGCAAAGGGGGGATCAACTCCATATTAATGCCCATGATTTTGGAATGAGATGTTCGACAAGCAGGAGTCCACATACTTTTGGTCACATTGTGTATTTCTGAAGGGGAATAAAAAACATTTTCCTCATTTGGATCTATGCTTGGGTCTCACATGGTTAGAAGTAATACAAGTTACATAAGACACAGCATTTCCATATTGAATTTTGAATGTTCTTCTCATGCTACTACAAATTATATTTCACTCTATAAAAACTACAATGATGAACCCTTTAAGCCCCAAGGCTATAGAGGCCTACTAATGATAACACAGGGGCCTGACTAGGTATGTTCCCCTACTGTCTATACTAGTATTGTTTTTCTAGGCAATGTATGATAGTGAGCATTTCTTTAACAAAATCATGTAATCTATGTGAGATATTTCATGTTTGCATTTCTGTAGAGGAGAAAAACATGTTGTTTAGCCTCAGCTTCCTGTATGCCTTAATTACAGTGTGTACAGATGTGTGCAATCGGAAGCATCTCAGCACACACAGGGTACATCTATCTCGAGTTCTGTCCTCATGTGACTCACGACCCGGTGACAAACACTGAGGTCACCAAGATCCTTCTAGAGAATTCTGACCGCTTAAGAACCTGGGGAAATCAATTAAGTTAGATGCTGCATGTTAGTCACAAGATCGCAAAAAAGGAGGAAAACTATATAATTTGCCATAGCATTGATAATGTTATCAGATGACAATTTGGCCAAGTGTACAATATCAATAGTGAACTTGGGATAAACAGCTTGAAGAGGGTTGAAGAGACCCCTCTCAGCTGCAAGTAAGATAAGAGGTTTGCTTGTATGTGTTGTGTGTGTGTGTGTGTGTGTGTGTGTGTGTGTGTGTGTGTGTGTGTGTGTGTGTGTGTGTGTGTGTGAGCGCGTGTGTTAGAAAACCATGGCAACACTTCGTATCAGCAGATCAAATCCTGGGATGAATATCTGAATCCGAATGGATTCAGTTTCCCAATAACACATATGCCATTCAGAAAAAAAAAACCAGTGCTGGTAACACTTTACTTTAAGCATGCAGGTATAATGCATTATGATGTAGTTATAATGCATTGTAAGACTTTCATGAGCATGCATGACCCCTATGGTTTTAAAATAATCTCATAATGATCTGGACTAAATACCAGTATATAAACCTTTTCAAAGCAGCCTTTGTATTTTTTAAGTATACATTGGAGAATGATGAACTTACCAAGTATACTTGTAGACCCCCACTAAATCCATTTTTCTCTGTGTTCTATGTTACTCTAGTTGTGTGTGGTCTCCTTGCTGGGCTTCGTCCTCTACTGCATCACCTACGTACCAGACGAGAGGACCTCCATGCAATTCATCGCCAAAGTGAGACCCACATGCCCTCTGACACAATTTCCTGTCCAACTGAGCAGAGACCAAGGCAAACTCTCTCTAATGGGATGATTAGTCATGTTTATACAGGAGAATGCCATTCATTATCAAACACATTTCCCGTCTCATTCAAATCAACCATACAAAGGTTGTTGTTAGAGCCAGTTAATCTGATTTAGACTAACGTGTAGGGCCAATATACTACAACACAGAGAACATTGATTGCCACATTGACATACTGTATGCAGACCTGGGTTCAAATACTATTTAAAATCTTTAAAATACTTGTTTTAGCATAGCTGTAATGCCAGATGGGCGGGGTTTGCACTTTGTGACTGTTCTAATACACTGTACAAAAATATAAACGCAACATGCAACAATTTCAAAGATTTTACGGAGTTACAGTTCATTTAAGGAAATCAGTGAACGTAAATAAATTAGGCCCTAATCTATGGATTTCACATGACTGGGAATACAAATATGCATCTGTTGGTCACAGACACCTTAAAAAGAAAGTAGGGGCGGGGATCAGAAAACCAGTTAGTATCTGGTGTGACCACCATTTGCCTCATGCAGTGCGACACATCTCCTTCACATATAGTTGATCAGGCTGTTGATTGTGGCCTGTGGAATGTTGTACCACTGTTCTTCCATGGCTGTGCGAAGTTGTTGGATATTGGCGGGAACTGGAACACGCTGTCGTACACGTCGATCCAGAACATTCCAAACATGCTCAATGGGTGATATGCCTGGTGAGTATGCAGGAACATTTTCAGCTTCCAGGAATTGTGTACAGATCCTAGCAGCATTACCATGCTGAAACATGAGGTGATGGCGGCGGATGAATGGCATGACAATGGGCCTCAGGATCTGGTCACGGTATCTCTGTGCATTCAAATTGCCATCGATAAAATGCAATTGTGTTCGTTGTCCGTAGCTTATGCCTGCCCATACCATAACCCCACCGCCACCATGGGGCACTCTGTTCACAAGGTTGACATCAGCAAACCACTCAGCCACACGTCTGCCATTTGCCCGGTACAGTGGAAACCGTGATTCATCCGTGAAGAGCACACTTCTCCAGCGTCCAAGTGGCCATCGAAGGTGAGCATTTGCCCACTGAAGTCGGTTACGAGGCTGAACTGCAGTCAGGTCAAGACCCTGGTGAGGACGACGAGCACGCAGATGAGCTTCCCGAGACGGTTTCTGACAGTTTGTGCATGTGGTTGCACCTTCAATGTGATACTGTATGTACAGTATAGGGCCATAGAGAGAAATGCAGAGCACAGCATGCCTACTGGCAAGGTTCTGTAGGAGGCCTATGGGTAGATGAGCACAGTTATTGGACATGATTTGATTGTCTCATTTAATTGGCCATAAAATGTAGGCAGTTGGAATTTCCAATCAATTAGAGTCCGCCCACCACTGTTTGCCCATTGTGACTGAGCTGCGTACAAATACAATATTTTGGACTTCCTCCACTCAAAATGTATGTAAAAGTAGACTTATAACGTGTATAAACAGAACAATACATTTAAAAAGTAATACAATCTACATTCAGTGGCGTAAATCTATTCTCCCTATTTTTCCTTTCTTTATGTCTTCCTAAAGTTCATAACATAAAATACTTTGAGTACAGCGATATATGAAAGGCTTTGTGATGCTCTTTATGTCATTTATGTACAACAGTTGGCAGTACAATACATCTCATGACGTACTTCAGTTCTCCATATTTCCCCGCATTTTTTTTTTTTTTTACCGCCATTTCAAATCAAGCAAGCATCAAACATGACATAATACTATAATCGGCATATAACGGAGTGTGAATACAGTGCGAATCAGGACTCTGTTACGTAACCTGTGGATTTAGATGAATGGCTAGTGCTATTGTACACTGTAATTACATAAACCATACAAAGCCCCTCTTGCACATTATCAAGCTGTATTTTAGACCCCGTTTACACAATGTGGACATTAACTCCTGAGTGGCGCAGTGGTCTAAGGCACTGCATCGCAGTGCTAACTGTGCCACTAGAGATCCTGGTTCGAATCCAGGCTCGAATCCAGGCTCTGTCGCAGCCGGCCGCGACCGGGAGACTCATGGGCGGCGCACAATTGGCCCAGCGTCGTCTAGGGTAGGGGAGGGAATGGCCGGCAGGGATGTAGCTCAGTTGATAGAGCATGGCGTTTGCAACGCCAGGGTTGTGGGTTCGATTCCCACGGGGGGCCAGTATAAAAAAAATATGTAATCACTAACTGTAAGTCGCTCTGGATAAGAGCGTCTGCTAAATGACTAAAATGTAAATACAGGCACCTGCCAAAATAAAGGAAACACCAACAAAGTGTCTTAATATTGTGTTCGGCCACCACGAGCCGCCAAAACAGTTTCAATTGTCCTTGGCATAGATTTTACAAGTGTCTGGAACTCTATTGGAGGGATGCGACACCATTCTTCCACATGAAATTACATCATTGGTGTTTTGTTGATTGTGGTGGAAAACGCCATCTCAGGTGCTCCACAATCTCCCGTAAGTGTTCAATTGGGTTGAGATCTGGTCACACACACACACAAACACTCCTTTGAGACCCGTCTTTCAAAGTCACCGAGAACTTTTCTTCTAGCCAAAATAATGGGCAACTGGCCATTTTAATTCATGACTTCAAGCATGCTGTGATGTTAATTGCTTAATTAACTCAGGAACCAGACTTTGTATCCCTCATTTACTCAAGTGTTTCCTTTATTTTGGCAGTTACCTGTACAAACACAAATACACAGCATGTGGGTAAAGGTACAGTGGGAGGCAGCTGCATGGGATTCTCACAGGAACACTGTCTACATAATGCAGTCAGTCCTCCTTTTCAACTAGAATGTTTTTTGTGTGAAAATGACTGAATTCTTTAGAAAATGACCCCAGATGACATCATAGGGGGTCATTTTCTTCTTATCTAAGCTAATTGACTACATGTAGAACATTTAGGTTTTCAAATATGGAAACACCGGTATGGTGCTGCTGTGCTGGACATAATGAATATGAGGTTAAAAAGTGGTGAAGTTCCCCTTTAAGACAGTCTTGCTCTGTCAGGTTCTACCTCTGGCTGGTAGCCAGGATCTGCTGGTATTTATTGGTGCTCTGCGGGGAGATAATCGTTAGCAGACAGAAACCTATTTAGATTGGAAACTGATATGGCTAGAGAGTGGGCATACCTGGTTCACTATAGCCTGCTAACACTTAAGTCACTTCAATCAGTCATTGAATGTGCTACAGTAAGCTGAGTAAAGACATACAACTCCAGTCGTCTTAGCCCTAGTGTAGACAACCAGGGTCATGTTCAGGCTCCAACACAGAAAAAGCTGTGAAATATCGTTGTTATTGGTAGTCTGTCCTCTATTTCAAATAATGTATCTAATTTCGTGCTAAACATGACCCTGCAGTTGTCCTTAAGGATGACCTCCCTCTAAGTATTTATCCCCCACTATGCTTAGCTATGCTATGATTCACTACACTACACCACACGAGCTCACTTCCTCTCTTCTCCCCCTCCAGTTGCTGTACTTCATCCTGTGCACGGTGGGCCTGGTCCTCTCTGTCCTGGTCATGGCCTTCTCTGGCCATCACTACGCCCAGACCAACGGCTTCAGCTGCCTGGAGGTGGGAGATGACTGCTTGTGCACCCTGGACCCCCACGACCCAATCGCCAGGACCTTCACCTACGCGGGAGTCAGCGATTGCGGAGAGGTCACAGGCACCCTGAAGTTGTACTTCCTGCTTCAGATTGCCCTGAACCTGACCCAAGCCCTGGTGTGTGCCCTGGGGGCCTTCGTCATGTGGAAGCACCGCTACCAGGTGTTCTTCGTGGGGCTGCAGATGGGCTCGCCCTCCTTCCAGCACTGGCAGAAGGTCTGATGGGAAATGTAGGAAGAAGAGGCCCATGGTGATGATGATACCACTATTGAGGGTAGAGTAAGAAGGCGAGCAGCCAATCAACATTTCTGCTCATTCTACTTGAATGGACAGAGATGTATTACACAAAACACTTTGGTGTGTGCATAAGTGTGTGTTTTGGTTGTTCTCAATCATATTTACATTTTGGGGTGGTTGACTTCTTCTATAATGGCTTTTCACACAACTTTGATATACTGTGTGGAGAACTTTATTTGCAGTTGCCAATGCTACATGAGATACTGTATTTCTAATAGATGAAGAAAAATGCAAAACTACCCAACTGTCAGTTTTGGAATGATCTACCTTGATGTTCAATGTTTTTGTCAGGGATTTCAAAATAATTCAGCAAAAATCTTTACTATGCCTCTACGATGAATGTATACAATCTATAATAGTGTTGATTATATTACAATTAAAGCAAACTTAGACACTTTTCTCAAACTGTGGTCGTAAAAACGATTCTTGCTGTGCAAGTATTCATCTCTAAAATCTTGTATCATACTGCTGTTTAGGACTGTGGGGAATGCTATTGTTTTCAACCCTGGTCGGCCTTCAACTTGAGATACTCAATGAGAGTGGGCAGCTCTGAGCTAGCCTGCAACGTCACTTCCTGGAGTAGCTCAAACTGAGCATGTTATCAAAAGACAGTGCAGTATGAAGATATGCAGAAACTGCTTCTCCAATAGAAATCCCTGATCACATTTGTAAACGATGTCATGGTGACGTTCATGCACAGAAATACGTTATCGGGTCTAACGGTTGTCTTGCGCCGAACTGCGCATGTGCAGGCCGTCAAATCAAAGGTACTCCTTCGATATCAAGTTGCTTTTGACAAAAATGTAAACGTGTCAGTTTGTCACTTTCACGAGGTTGGAGTAATAACATGTTCAACTACTTAAGACATTGGCTCAAATCTAGGTTGTGGATTTAGATTTAGAGAAAATTAACAGATAAGGAAGAATTTCACTTCTCTCATCGACTTCTCAAACCCCGGCCTGGTCTGCTTGGTCTGTTTCGCAAGCATTCCCGGAAGTCTTGCGATGTTGCGCCTCTGGGTTTAGAAACTGCGACGTTATGTCTTGAAAATCCCCCCCATGAGATTCCATTTTAGTAAGCTAAAACAGACTTCCTGAGCTTCAAATGCACTATTGAGTCTTCACATCGGAATAAATGGTGTGACGTCATCGATGGCTTTGGGGCGGCAGGTAGCTTAGTGGTTAAGAGCGTTGTGCCAGTAACTGAAAGGTCACTGGTTCTAATCCCCGAGCCGACTAGGTGAAAAATCTGTCGATGTGCCCTTGAGCAAGGCACTTAACCCTAATTGCTCGTGTAAGTCGCTCTGGATAAGAGCGTCTGCTAAATGACAAATCTAAAAATCTTTGTCCATTCATATACAGTCAATGGTTTAACTGCATCAGTAGAGGGTGAGGAGCAGGCTGGAACATAAGTGAGGGAATTATGTTCAGTTTTCGCAATTGCATATTTAGCACTTGAATTTGATTATCATGGACTATCACACAAACAGTGGTACATATTTTGTAATAGCCTATAGTTACACATAATACAGTATTTTGGGGCAAAAGAGGCTACTAATTTCATCTTTCCTTTCAGACAATGGATATCTGTCTGTAGCATTTGGGGCTGTTGACATAATGCCATCATTGTATGAATCAGGTAAAACCCCTGACCGAATAGAGCAGTACAGCCTGGTGTATTATTGCATTTACTAACGACTCAGAGTGGAGTCAGACTGGTGCTAAGAGGAGAGGAGAGAAGGCATGTGGAGGCTATCAACAATACCAGTGGCCTCCAGTCATGACTCAAGCAGCCAGGCAAAACCAAAACTGCTGCAACCACTGGGGGAGGGCTGGGCTGGGGAGGGGTAGGTAAAGGGGTACTCAGACGGACAACTGAACTGTGCCATCCGAAGAGGGAAACTATGTTTATATGGCTCATTGGCTCATTTAGCAGGATAGTGTCCCTCCAATAGTGAAGACAGTACGTTAAATCAGTTGTCTAAAGGTTTGGTGTACGTTGTCTTATGCAAAACTAACTTTGGTGGATTGTAAATCACATTTTAGGTGCTGGTAGTGGACAACATTTGCCTATGACACATCCAGAGACTAGAGCAGCATGAAAAACAGAAGCGTGAAGCAGAATACATGAGGAGAATTAGAACTAATGAGTATTGGGTGGTAATATGGTAATTACTGTGCATTAGAGATACTATAGTCAAGTCTTTGCAGATAATCCATGAGGAGAAGTGTTTGAGAATGGCGAAATCTGAGTTTTATCGTCAACAGAGGCCTTATTACTGGTGCTTGAGCACTTCACGGCATTTACATGTACATTAGAGAAAGAACTACTGCCGATGTACCTGTGTACATTTTCTTTTCCTTTTAATCATGGTCTCACTTTTACTTTTAATAAATGGTGTTGACTTTTAAGTCCTTAAATCGCAGTTGTATTATTTGTGTTGCATGCAATCTTACCTCAACTATTCTTAAACCAATCCTGAAATTCTGTTGATGAAAAGTATGTGAATGAATGCGTTTTGCCTGCGAGCTACAGTATCACACTAGCTACCACTGAAGACAGACCGCTTGCGAGGGAAACATAACTATTTGAGCCGGAATCTTTTCATTCTATCACTGGAAGGGATAAGGCTGTACAAACATACACTACAGTAGCGTGTTATCAGATTAAGTGAGAAAGTTAGAGGGCCTGGGCCGTGTTCATTAGGCACCAAACGGAAGAAAACAGGGAGGGACTACCTAGATTTGTCCATTTTCTGTTGAAAAACACTAAAAACTATTTTGCTATGGTGAATATAGCCCTGATGTTTTTGATAGGCTTGAGGGTGTTATGAACTATCCTGTGACAACACTGCATCATTATTCATGACAGCATGACATAGGAAGTCACATGCGGCCCATCACAAGGGGGATGTATTTAAACAAATTACAGTTAAAATAGTTATTTTCCTCCCACAAAATCTGTTTTCCTTCCTTTGAAACCACAAACACCTGCTTGAAATTGCCATAGATCTGCGAGGGGTAAAAACAGAAAGGTATCTGATCTGTTGTCCTGTGCATTTCTTCTGACCCTTTGAGAGAGGAGATGAATGTAGAAGATAAATGAGGTGATCAATTTCTGTATTGGCACTTTATTGGATCAACCTTCACTTAGTGGGAGCAGAACACTTTCAAGTAAGTCAAATTCAATGAAAGTGACATAACCAAAGGTGTGACTAATACGATTCTGTTATAGAGCAGTTTCACTTCAATAATGGCCACCTGCAACTGGCAAAACTCAAACTGTACAAAAAAAAAAAAAAAAAAAAAAAGTGTCCAAATTACTTGGGAAACAGAAAAAAAATAGCATTTGGGCAGAACAAAATCACCTATCAGTTGCTCAACATAGCATTTGAAAATACTTGTTTTTCTTTTGTCACACTACAACACTTGCCTCCAAACACAATAAACACAGCATTCAATCATCACCGTCCCAGAGGTGTTTGTGGCATAATGTCCTGTTTATTGTCCTACTACTGTTGGGTGGGTCTGAGTTCACGCTGACTAAACAACACGTGACTTTGGTCGGGGACTGCCAGTGTCGAGAGATTCAAAGATGTCCGGTGTCCAATTTTGTCTAAGGTTGTGTACATTAGCAAATCACACACAGCTCAAGCGCATGCAACGTGTTGTTCACATGCACAAAACGTGTACTATAGAATGTTCACTGTAGAATGGACAACACAACGGAAATACAGTGTACCTGACCCATTCCACTACTAGTGAACTCAGTCATACAGTCATATCAGAGACTAAGAATTCGAAGTCATTCTAATTCCAGCCAGTTCCTCACAATCACAGTGAGTCATAAGAGTACAGTAACACTACATCGACCTGGGGGTGGTAACGCATTACATTACAGCAGTATGTTCTCAGACTCCGAGCAGCACTAGTGGAAAGACCGTAGTTATTCTCTTTCTGATCCTGACACAGCACCTTACACCACTACTAGCTACTAAACAATACATTAGTCCAATGGCAGTTAGGACATGTTCAACAGAAGCAGTAGATGAACTATGGCGGCATCTGCCATGCCATTTTAAGTGTGTGAGAAATGATTGAGGAATATATGGCTGATCATTGGAATATAAGTCATTGGAATATAAAAATAAAGAAAATAAAGAAAGCAGTGGATGTTTGCGTATGAATGCACCATACAGTACCGACAGAGCCAGGGGTGGCATGTCCCATCGCCTCCTCTCTCCTTCCCTCCCCCCTCCTAGTCAGAACATTCCAGATCTGCTGGACTTTCCCCTTTCCTGCCTTGCTCGGTGACAGCTGTGGGCTATTATGGTACCGCGTGCAGCTAATTTTAATGGCTGTGTCACAGAGGCGGCGTGAGAGAATGCAGCCCCGCCAGCGTCAACATTAACAGAACAGAACAGGACCATCTCTGGACATGAGCCCTGTTCATTTAGATCAAATATGGGGGGGGGGGGGGGGGGGGCAGGGGGGGATTAGGTGTCTGGATTATAAAACAACTTGGAAACAATTCAAGCCTTTCATTCATTCATTCATGACCTCGCACGTGTTGTGTTATCCAACTGTACACGGATTCCTTGTCTGTCCTATCACTTTAAACCATTTAATTTGATATCTTTAAATCAGAGAAAATGAGGTCATTTGGAATTAAGGTGAATTTGAGTCACACAGCCATATTTCCAGTCATTCATCTTGATCTTTCCAAAAAGGCTAAAGTAGAAAATGACTAAAGATAACGCTGATCCAAAGTCCACATCAGGCTTCTTATGAGTGTTAACTGCTTGTTCTTATCCAGCTAAGCAGATGTTGTAGATATACTGAGCAGAATGGCTGCAGTGTGATGGTTAAAGCATGATGTTTACTGTGAGCATTATTCAATAGCAGATGACCCCAGTATCTGACCAT